TAACGTAATAAATAACATAATCTTGTGTTTTATAGCCAAATGGTAAATCAGCTATATATTTTTATATACAAAAACGTGAGATTTATAGAGAAGATATAGATGGTTGTCAGATCTGCGTTCGATTAAAAACAGGATTAAAATCATCTTTTATCTTAAACACACCTGGCTTAAAGGTAATTTTTGTCTTAAATGTTTCAAAGCTAAATGGGATTTTAAAACCAGGTTATGAATAAGGTTTTCATTGCCAACAAGATACAGTGTTGCCGACAGGACAAAATTGATAATTGTCTCCGATAGTTTTATCGTCGGCAAGATTCAATCAGATTCATTTTCCTTTCAATTGCATGCTCTGCACGTGCTTATCGACAAGGTGGAAATCACCAACTGAAGATTTTTGTCATGTTATATTTTCCAGCCAACATGGCAGTATGACAATGTAGCTGATTTTCAACTGGGTATGACTTTAGCCTATAAAGATGATTCTGGTGTATGTGAAGCTACTGTAGTGGAAAAAAACAATGCTTTATTTTCTCTGAAGACAGGTAAGTTCCTTTTATAATTTTTTTCAAATATAATTTTGATATTCTTTGAAGGTTTTCTGGTACTACCAATTTAAGAAATATAATCTCTGAATGATTTGATTTGAGTCAAGATTCCTGGAGCTGTAGAAAATTTTCAGTGACTTCCAGCCTGTTAGTTCCAATACAGATTCAAATCCTAATGTTCGAGCTCTGTCTTTCAAACAAGTCGTCCTGATGAAATGTTAATGTCGGCTAACTGTACCTCCTAATAGGAAAAAAATGACCATGGGAAAATGCTAAGTTTGGTCTGAAAGCTACCGGTATCTCTTTTAAAAATTGTAATCTGCATGCCATCCCTGCCTGGCTAAGATGAAATCAACGACTTGGCTTATCCTGTTTGTATGAATTTAATTCTTTATTTAAACTCTCAATGCTATTTTCATCTTATTCTTTTTCATATCCAGATAAAAAAGAGAAGGAGAAAGTAGATGATTTGTTTGATATGATCCCATTCTCTGAAGCAGGTAGGACATCCTAATCTTACAAAGACAAACAACTCGGGTGCCAATGGCTCATCTTTGGGCGCTCTGCATGGAACTTGGTTCATAAGACCGGAATTGATTCAGAACATAACCTGTTCAAAACTCTCAAATCGAGTGTCACTCTTGATAATGATTTTTCTGTGTTAGTCCAGGTCAACTGAAATAATGAATAAATAATAACCTGACATCATAAATGACTGAGCTACATTGAAAATGTTGACATAAACTTCTGTATCTTAAATTAATTTATATTTTCACCATCCTATATCTGTAGATACAATAATAGTTGGGAGAACTAGTAAAAATATTTCACCTATAGTTGATCAAAATGGAGGTAAGAAAGATATTAATTACTTATCGTTCTGAGTGTAAGAATTTTGGCGTAGCCTTAGATTGAGCTCTGTTCAAATTCAAACTTTACTCAAAAATATATAGAAATAGATATATATTTTTTTGATTGAATAATATTGAAAATTGAATATATATCAATTAGCCAAAACAAGTAATTTTCTGAATGCTTTATTGCTTAGTTAGTTTGTCTTACAGACAGCTTTGATTATTTATTTATTTTTTTTGGCATATTCCATATTGAATTCTTAAAGCTCAGAGCTTTTAACATAAGTTCTTAAGAGTAACAAGTTTGTTAAGCGTTGGAAACAAGAATAGGTCAACGTCTTTCAAATCCAATATATTTTTTTCTGATCTTGATCAAGTCAATAGATTAAAAAAACAAAACAAAAGGAAACAAAATGTAATTAAAGATTTTTTTTCTATTTAACTTTCCTCTGTATTTTATTATTACAGTTGTTGTTGTGGCACCAATTTGGTTATTTAATCAGGTAAGAAATATCTCTTTTAGAAGGGAGTCAATGTTAACAGCTGTGACATCACTAATGTTAATGCAGAAGGAGAAAGACAACATATACATTTGTTTATCCAAATCATGATTTAAAGGTTCACCAGCCAAAAATATCAACGCGTTGGGCCTGAAATTATATCTAAAAGCCAAATCTTGTTCATTTAAGATGGAAATAGATCACAAAGCTAGATGTCTGCAGAAAAATCAAGCGTTCTTGTGAGCAGGATCCTTAAAAAGCACATCAAAAATATGATTTTGAATTTCTGATCTCTTATACATTGTTTTCATTTCCGACAGCTTCAAACTGATGACAAACTTGCTGAATATTTGAAAGGAAAGAAAGAAAAACAATTGATTCAGAAATGCACTAGTATCTTTCATCCTTCAGGTAAATTATGACTCATATTTTTATAAAAAAGAACATATATGTCATATATTGCCATCCAGAAATATTGGTCTGTAAATTTAAGACTGTAATTAGTTCTACAGGTACAATGTATTAGATTATAGACGAACTCTTTGTCTCATTTTCAATTTGAAAAGTGTTACTTGCATTTGACATTTACAACAAATATTTCACGGTATCACACCACAAGTCAGAATAAAAATATACCCCTTTAAGCAAACAATTTTCATCATGAGTATTTTTTGTTCAAGTATTGTTTCCAAAACAATTTTAGCCTTCGTGACATTTTTTATATAAGCAGACCATCTAAATTCAAATTTTCAGTGATATATGCGGAAATGAAACGCAGTGAGCCAGAAATAGAAGATGTTGTATTTCGACAAGGTGGAGTGGATTTTACAGGATCTGCTCATGTGTTACTACCACAAATCTTAGATAGAACAAACCTATTTCATTGTTCTAATCTAAATTTAACTAAAGATTTAAATCTTCAACCAATATGTTACCAAAGAGGTTAGTTATGTTGTCTTAAAACGATATGTTCACCATACGTCTGACCAAAAATAGTGCTTACAGCTTACCGTCGAAAATTGAGCCTTTAAATCAATGTGTGTCCAGAATTATCCGCGTTTGAATGTTAAAATGATGACTCATCTTTTCTTGATACTTTGCCATATATAGAAAAGACATATATATAAGAATAGACAGTGAAATTTCTAGTTGGAGGTATATTTGAAAGGATTATGCAATTTTCCTGTAGCTTCAGATTTTCAGTAACAAAATTGTTTCGCTGGTATGTAGTTTTCATGATAACAATTTTTTTTGCAGGTGATATGAACAGTGTAATGACTTTTAGACCAGTACAAGCTATGAGTAAAACTTTATTTCCCTATAGATCATTACATCTATTAGATGTGGAGGGATATCAGTTTGACAGTATTGAAGGAGTAGATATTATTACTGATAATACCTATGATAAGACTATATTATTGTGGGCCTGGCATCTTATTACTTTAACTAAACGAGAGGTTAGTATTCAAATATTCTTTTAGTATTTCAAAGGGCAATAGTCACTAGTGCTGGGTATCGTCAATCATGCCACGATACGTATCGCGAAATGAGGTAATGGGATTAAAATTAACATTTTATTGTCAAAGCTTCTATATACATAGTATGTTAATTGATAACTTTATAACTGCAAATACATCGATTCACCAATATATCATTCCAGCACTTATAGTCACAAAATTAAAAAAAATACATTCTATTTAATTTAGCCTTAAGTGATAATGAGGAATTGAATTAAATTACATTAAATAATGGAAACGAAATTTTCTAGTTTACCACTCTTGAGTTTTATTTTACACAACGTTTACTTTGATCCATAAATTTTCATAAATTTTTCTTTCCATAAATTTCAATAAACTATTCATGTTTTGTGTGGTTTTCAAATAAATTTTCACCATAATATTCAGTTTTAAACTATGGACTAAGGAGATATGGATATTAGAAATATACCAAGTAAATTGGTACATAGTACTACTTTTTTCAGTCTCATGAAAATTAGACCAAACTTTTCTCTGTTTTATTAGCTTTTATTTGAATATAGCCATTTTGTGATGGGGTGTTGATCAGGTTAGGTCAAAGGGTAAATTTGACGAATATTCAAGAGGGCTGTCGTTAGATCCTAACTGAAGTGCTATATTAAACAGAAAGTAAGTTTGGTCTAATTCTAATTTTGATTAGACTGTAATTATTTGTCATTCAGAAGAAATATTAAATAGGTCTTATATGCTGTTAAAACGCTCAATATAGTCAAAATATATTCACTTAACTTTATATTTATAGCCTATAGAACTGGAGGTATCAACTCTGTTGAAGAAAATTGAAGGATTATCTTCTGTTTCCAAGATAAAGGTATGTCTATATACAAAATACAAAAAGTAGAACAAGACAAAAAAGATGCAAATGAATTTGAGTATCTTATCAAAAATTATTCTTACTTTAAGGAGGATTCAAACCCACGGCAACAAATCGCCAACATGCTATCACTGCTTCTTGGTGTTAAAGATTCATTGTGCTTGTGACAATATTTCTTAATCATCAGTATGCCATGAGAAATTGTTATCTGTCATCATAGGATCTTAATTGAAAGAAAGAAATTAATGACTTCAGGATGAGGAACTTGTAAGTCTTATAAATCCATTTCAGTTAACAAATGCCATCTACAGAATTATTCATCAGATGTGTTTCCATCTATATTTTGGTTTGGGTCCATTGTATGAACCAATGTCGTTTAATAAAGATAACCTAGAACTAAACAAGGCTGCAAGGGTAAGTTTTTACATATTTTGATTTTTTGAGTATTTACATATAAACTGTTTACACAAATTGTTTGTTAACATACAAAATGGCTGTCATACTGAAGTGAAATGTTTTGGATAATAAACCGATGTGCTCCATATAATTAGAAGTGCTTTGTTGTCTTATTTCAGGATCTGGGAGAACTTGTGGAGCAGAATTTATCAAATTCTGGTTTAAAAGCTGTGACTGTGATGTTTTCAGATGACAAAATATATATGTGTGAAGCTCACGAAAGTTGTTGGCAAGTCAATGGTGAACTGACAGAAGTGCCTATAAATTTGTTCAAATCAAATTCTTATTACCTGAAATCCATTCATCTAGCCAACAACAAAATTGAAAGCTTACCTGAAGAATTTTTTACGCGTCTGCCATGTTTAGCAGATATTGATATCCATAGAAACCATCTGAAAGAAATTCCAACCAACATTGAACAATGTAAAAGACTGCTGGCCTTCAATATTGGTTATAACTTATTGACCACCCTACCAGAGGAAATGGCCGCCTGTAAATTGCTAGAAAGATTGGATATTACTGGAAACAAAATGAAAGTCATCCCTCCTGTAGTAACGAAATTAACTAATCTCTACCGATTCTATGCCAGTAACATGCTACTGAAAGAGTTACCAGATGATTTTGGTAACCTCGTCCACTTAGATAAGTTGAATCTTAATGGTAACTGTTTCACATCATTACCCAAGAGTTTTAGTCAACTTAAGAACCTGACAGAATTATTTCTAAATGGCGTGCCTTGGTTTAAAGCTAAAGTAAATGGTATAGTTTCTAAAGAACATTTTGAAGAACATCTGTCTCAGAATGGTCTGTTAGAGTGGTTAGAAGGGCATGATCAGGTAAATATCACTGTTAAATCAAGAATAATAAAAAAAATTAAGTTTGATCCAATGCATTATGATAAAGAAGAATCATTGTCTTCAAAAATGGGAAATTTTTTTCATGTGATTTGCAACAATGTGATCAGTTTCCAGATGAAAGAAGTGGTCATTGATAGACTTCAATCATTGAATTTATCTTTTTTTTAAATTGATGCATAGAGGGCATCCCGTTTGGGGCGAATTTAAAACACGCTCAAATAGTTTACGGCCTGTACAAATCACTGGCATCCAAAATGCTAAATATTTCAGGCTGATTATTTACATCAGCCATCAAATTCGCTTCTCTACCTGAGTCAGACATATTTTATCGATTGATCAACCTTTTTAAACCAATCCGATTTGATGTTGATATTGGAATTTTCAGGACAAACTTTCAATTTTCAAGTTTTTTGATGAAGACACTAATGGTACATTAGACCAGAAAGAATTAGGAAAATTAAATGCCGTTATGTTTAATATATTTCCTAGATTTGGTTATAAAGGAATGGAACCTCCAGGTAATGTTATACGATGAGACGGGGGGGGGGGGTCCATCACTCATCTTGGGTGAAGAAACTTGGGTCAAGGAAACTGACTGGATCTGCTTCAAAAAGTGCTAGAGATCTACTGGCGGTTGATGCAAAGGAAACACCCTCTCCAAAGAAGGCAAAGATGATGTCCCTGTTTCTACTTTTCAACAATTTTCAGCAGTTTTTTTTTTTTTACAGATGATGACATGCCAAGTGGATTTCCACCAGAATTACTAGAATTACCAAAGTTATCATATCTTGGTTTCCGTTATCATGGTATAATATCGGTACCTGAAGAAATAGATAGATTAACAGAATTAACAGTCTTACATGTTGGTAATAATCCTAATCTCCTGTCATTACCAGCTCAGTTAGCTAATCTACAGCTGAAACGTAAGTTGCATTTACTTTTATTAAGGATTAAATAAAGAAATAAAGCAAAAAATGTCTCAGGTTTTTGGGGGAAATAAAAAATATCCTTAGCTTCCTTTTCTCTGTGATATAAAATAATTTTTTTTAAAATGTGTATATAGAAGGAGTGTTGATTTGACTTCATTTGCCAGACACGTCTGACATTGCCATTGAAATGTCCAAGAATGACATATCTCTGTAAGGCCTCCGAGCTGTGTATGTCAAAGAAAATCAGTCTGTAAAAATTCAATTCATTTTTTTTCTTTTGCAATTGAGTATATATGATTTTTTTTATGATCAATGCCAAGAGGTTTGGCCAAGGACCAATTGGTCCTCATCAACCTAAGTTTTTATCTTTTATTTTTTTTTCTTGAAAAGGTTTAGACATAGAAGATTGTCCTATGTTAAAAACACCTCCTAAAGAAATAAGAGCTAAAGGATTTGCCACCACCATAGCCTATTTAAAACGGTTGCTGAGTGGATCATCAGAATGTATGAGGACTAAATTGATGTTAGTTGGTTTGGGTGGAGCTGGTAAGACAAGGTACTGGTTTAAATTAGTGTCTATAGTCTTGATCATCAACATATTTTCTCTTTTAACAGCCACCGTGGCTCAGTGAGTAAGATGGTTGCTTGCTTACCTGTAATTCCAAGGTTCGGGGTTTGTATCTTTTGATTTGGTTATGGTGAAATCATCTATATTCGTGAGAGCTCAGTTGTAATAAGATAGTGCAGGCTAGCCAATAAAATTAGAATTTATTTTAAAGTATTTTAATGAGCAAGAAAAATATTTTGGAAAAGGATAGAATTCTATACATTTACATCTGCCAGGAATTCATATCTGAGGACAAATCCGAGAGATTTGGTGCAAGCCAAAATAAATGATATCTCAGTAAATCAAAGTTATATTAATCCTTGATTTCATCATGATAAGGCCCTTGGCATTATGGTGAGTTTTTTCCTATGTTATTTGTAGTTTGGTGAAAGCATTATTAAGTAATGAAAATAAAACTAAGTTAACAGTAGGAGAAGATATAACAGATGGTAAGTTTAATTTTTGTCATTCATAGTACTTGAGGAAAACAATTCAGAACTATGAAGGTGCAAATAGACAGTACAGGGTTATCAATACAATAGAAAATAGAAGGTAGAGTCACACAGACCTTAATGAAAATCCTGATCTTTTTACAAAAAGAATCTACCTAATTAAAGGGATTGTAAAAAGGTTTTCTAAATTTTTTTATGTGTATCAGGGACACTGATTTGCACCATTCCAATTTGATATCAGATGTCTGTGGTTCCTGCAATTCCACTAATGGACTCACATAAGGACTTTGCAATTAATGACATCATGAAACACTTAGTTTTAGTGGAATTACAGGAACTACAGACGTCCGATTGAAAAATGGAATGGTGCAAAATGATGATATCAGTGTACTACATTATATAGTTGATAAACGCAAATTGATGTTTTTGTCTGTACAGGTATTGATATTTGTCCATGGAAGGTTAAAACACAAGAAGGAGAGTTAACATTTAGTGTATGGGATTTCGCTGGTCAGACAGTATATTATAATACACATCAATTCTTTCTGTCTGATAGAGCTGTGTATTTATTACTGTGGAATATCAGATTAGGTCATGAGCATGCTGGTCTTGATTTCTGGTTAAGTTCTATATCAGTCCATGCACCTAAAGCTCCTATATTTATTGTGGGTACTCATGTAGATCAGGTGGGTAATTTTTATTCTTTATAACAGATGCCTTGGAGGTTATATGTTCTCCCCTCCCCCCTTGCCCCTCAGAAAAATTATTCATACCCCCATTTCATTTCTAAAAAATTTTGAAAATGATTTTTATGTGTTCTTGCTTCCAAAATTGTATCAGTATACACCAAATCAATTTTATTTTTCAAAAAATTTCTGGGAAAAACCCCGAATTTGTGAGGCTTATGCAAATTTGCTTTTGCATTAAAAAGTTGCAAAGTTGTCACTCCATCTATCAGTTTGCCCCCTATTTGTACTCCTAGTTCCAGAAGGCTGGGGATGCCTCGGCATGCTACATTGAAGCTCAGAAATTACAGCCAGATTTCTTAAGTACAAACTGAGCTTTGTTTGTTAATCTAGGTCTCCAAAGTTGAATTACCTACAAAAAATATGTTAGAGAGATATCCTCAAATAGCAGGTTTTCATTATATATCATCACATACTGGCAAGGTAAGATTTCCAATAAAACCTCAAATTTTTGTCTGAAAAAGTGCTAAAGAAAACATGGACTTTTTGTGGTTAAGAAGTTATTTTACTAAGAATCACATTCTAGCTGTCAGTCAAAATGTTATGTGATTAAAATTCTTCATGAATAAGTATTCATAAGTAATACTTTAGCCAGTATGTATAGTGTTAGGTCTTAAGATGTCTTTTTGTATACAAAACGGACTTGTTATTTTGTACAAGAATTCATTTGTTTCATACAATGAAGGCCTATAGTTTGCCAAAGTAAGTATTTGGCAAACCCAGATCCATAATTACTTTAATTATTGTTTTTATTTTTGACATGGGCTAAGATTATTTGGCTTATAAATGGTCCATCATGGATTCCATATGTGAATTGCAAAATTATCCATCTTTCTAAATATTTTGTAGTAAATATATAGACCACTTTGGTTAAAACTCTCTGACTGTCTTACCTAGGTTCAAGTTTTTCTGTCATTTGGATGACATCTGTCACAAACTTCATCAGAATACTAATATAAAGATACTATTTGATTGCTATTTAGGGTATTGATGAATTAAAGACTAATTTAGTAGAAGAAACATTAACACAACAGTATATGGGTGAGAAAATACCTGGTGTTTGGTTAGGATTAGAACAGTCCTTACAAGAGTAAGTTTTTAGCTTTTATTTTTGAATTTTGATAATGGTTGTTTAGTTAGAGTATTTGTATTTTGGTGCCATTTTGATCACTTGTATCCAAAAAATAGTGGTTGTGGTTTCTAATCTTGGTCTGCTTGCAAAAGTCTGGTGATCTTAAATACGTTATTATATTCCAGTCAACCCAGCTGTAAATGGGTGGCAAAGGATTACCTGCAAGATGCAAGACAGGATCTTAACAGAAAAAAAATTATCTTTTTTTTCATAAATTATGGGTTACTTTTTACTTACATTAGATGTTCATATTGAAACATTAGACTGCAATTTTTTAAGAATGAAAAATTGGAATTTATTTGGAAATGGTTTTCAATATTGTATGATTATAAATTACCATTCTGATTGTGCAGAATACAAGAGAAATGTGTTATTACCTATAGTGAACTAGAGAAGAGAGCCAATATATCAGGAATTTTTGACAAATCTGAGGTAATGATTTCAATTTGTAATATTTGTCCAGAAGTTTGTTATAATAACCATAAACTCATTCGAATTTGTATTGGTTATAAATCTAGCAAATACAAGACAAATGCTTGCTCTGAAATGTTGTTTTGATAAAAAAAAAACATATTGTATACTGTATAAACTCAAATTTATTTCAGTGCTTAGTGCGCACCTCTTCTGTAAGGGGCCCATTTTGGGATAAAAAACTGTGCATTATATTCAGAAATATACGGTATATGTTAGTTCTATGACAGAACAGAAGTTGACGTGTGGGCTATATCATATTTATTTCAAAAGGGGTAATATGGGTGACGAATTTTTCTCAATCTTTTTCATAACATGTATTTGGAAAATATTTATTTCAGGTGTCCCAAGCAGTACAGTTTCTCCATGAATTAGGTTCATTACAATATTTTCAAAATGAATTTTTAAAAGGTCATGTAGTAATCAGTCCACAATGGATTGTTGATGTTATGGCATGTATTGTATCTGTTAAAGACTCAGCTATCAAGGTACAGTTAGATGAAAATTGTGCATAAAATATTGTGTAAACGTACATTAGATGTGTAATTTTTTCTTTGAAATGTGTATATTATATATTAAAATATGTATGTTATATTTTAAAATGTGTAAATTATACATTAGAATGTGTATAATATATATTAAAATGTGTAAATTATACATTGAAATGTGTAGATTGTACATTACGATGTGCTTATTATATTAAAATGTGTAAAATATACTTTACAGTGTGTAAATTATACATTAAGATGTGCTTATTATATATTAAAATGTGTAAATTATACATTAAAATGTGTATATTATAAAGTAAAATGTGTAATTTATACATTAAAATATGTATATTATATATTAAAATATGTTGATTATGTATTAGAATGTGCAGATTATACATTAAAATGTGCAAATTATACATTTCAATGTGCTTATTAGTACTATTGAAATTGTGCTCTCAGTTAATTTCAAAGCAACATCATGATCTTAATTGCATGAGATTGAATCTTGTATGATATTTTATCTATAGGATGGACGTTTAAGACATGCTGATATTGGTAAAGTTTGGAAGAAATATCCTGAAGATTTACATTGGTGGTTATTGAGACTAACAGAGGAGTTTGATTTAACATTCAGACTAACAGATAAACCATTAAATATTATACCTTGTTTACTCCCTGAGAAAGAACCAGATGTAAGATTTGATTTTGAACTTTTTTTTTGATCTTTGTTATACCAGCATTTCAATATTCTCAAGAAAGACAATTTGTAGGTGACAGGGCAGTGTGTTTTAGTTTTATTTAAGTGATCCTGGTCAAGGCTGTCAATTCATAGTTTAGCCATCAAAGCTGTAAATTCATAGTTTAGCCATCAAGACTGTAAATTCATAGTTTAGCCATCAAAGCTGTAAATTCATAGTTTAGCCATCAAAGCTGTAAATTCATAGTTTGGCCATCAAAGCTGTCAATGTATTTGCATCATATAAAAACATTACATTTGGACTATGAACTCACACCATAGTGATCACCAGTCGCTTATGATTGCAAGTAATAATTGTTGGATATTGAAGAGTCAAATATAC